TATAATAAATTTACTTTATTTATTTCTGTTTTTTTTCTTAGTTCATAGCTATTAAATACTTATGAAAATGCTCCAAAATTGGTGTGAACAATTTTCTATGAAGGAAACTTTCAAATATAGATATGTTAAAAATTCACACTTCTAATTTTTTCTTTGTTTTCGTAACAAAGTGCATATTTTTAATACTTCTTGTTTAAGTCGAGGACATAAGTAATATTGCATTTGTTTTGCACTCTTTTACGTAAAGTCATTTTCCTGATAGTCTTGATAACAAAATAGGTAAATCCAAAAATCACGATTAAGTATATGATCATATTTTAGAAATTTACCGAACAGTGGATAATCGGGTATCCTGTCAAATACCCGGCAAAACCATCACTATGGTTAATAGTTCATGTCTTCGTTCTGGGGGGCTCTATTAGATACGACCATCACGAAAACGCCCCTAACCATATCATTGAAGTCCCGTTCAAAAAGTCGAACACTAAACCAATGAAATTTTAATTCTTGGTTCTCGGATTTTCAACGAGAGGATTGAGTTGAAACCACTAAAATTCTGCAAGCTGCAAAATCATTAATAAGTTATCGTTAATCAAAACGTAATATACCAACAAGCGACAGAAATAGTAACAGTTCGGTCATATTGATCCATTTTCGTTCGCAAGAAAAAGCAAGCACAAGAACTATTATCGAAATAACAAATAATTTAGTATACCATAGTAATCAATAAATAATTCAAATTACGATAACAACTTATCCCAATGCAATTTTTCTTGTTGTTTCTTATTTTTTCTCTGATAGAATTTCCCGACACTGCCAGGTACCTAGAGTCATCCGGTGCTCGGCCGATCCTGAAAAAAATGTCGGATCCGCCGGGTACCAAGTCCATATTTCAAGATATACAACAAACAAAGGTACAATTGCCTACTTTCTTGTGTGTTCTGTTTGTAAGCATAAAGTCGATTTGGGAAAAATTTTTTAATTTGTGAATAAGTCGATATCTCATTTCGCAAAAATGTAAGCAGTGTCTGATACATAGACGAACGAACAGACAGACAATGTTGTCACAATACTAACAAGTCTTAGGGGCGGCTAAGTGTGTCTCGATGATTCCCCTTTCCATGGAAAAAAAAACTTCGGATACTGAACCCTAAACATTGTCTGACCAATCGGATTTTTTTTACTAATAAAACAATAAAGCACAATAATAAATTTAGTCACAGTTAAAATATTTAGTACAATTATTATATGATAAATAAAATTAAATATCTACACCCACAAATTTTTTCTGCTTATAATGGTTTTAAAAGATATAACAAATTATGTGATACCAAGAATGCAGCGACTAAAGAAANGGAAGTAATTATTGATTCAATTCGTTATTTATTTTATTTATTAACAATTAATTCTGAGGAAATGAAACTAATAATTTGATTGTGACAAAACACAATTAAAATTCATTTTCAGCGTTAATTTTAGGAGCTAAAAAATTGTTTAACTTCAGAGAAGAATTTTTTCTAAACAAACACAAATCAGGGGAACAACCTTATCAGATTTATTTATATAAAGTTGTAAACAATTTGAACAGGCAACAGTTTTAATCTTGTCCCAGAAGTTATGTGCCCATTTATGGGTATAAAAACACGAGAAATTCGCAAAACATTTCAGATCAACATAAACAACTGAAATATAATTATCTATAAATATAAAATTTCAAAATGAAATTCCTACAGGTTTTTGTTTTAATTGTTGTACTATTTGTTTCAACAACTTTAGCACAGTCTAACGAACCACAAGAAGAAATAGATGCTGGTAATATTATCACTCTTCTTTTACTCCATTTCTTGTTATAAAAGATATACTATAGTTTTTTATTAGGAAGTGTACCACTCCCAAAAGCTTTTAAAAACAAATGATTTGCTTATTTGTGTGAAAACTATTCTGTTACTAATTACAATTTATTTATTGTTTTTTTTTTAGAGCAAGCCCGGTTAGCTACATTAAATGGGCCTACTTGTTACGGTTGTCATAGTTTTTGTACCGGAAATGGTTTTAGGGGCGGATATTGCGTAGGAACGTCTTGTACTTGTTACTAATTTCGTTCATAATAACTTGCATACTTAAATTACATATTTTTACAATCAAATAACGTTACTGTAGACAAAAAAGACACTCTACATACATTATTATACATTATACATTATAAGTTATAATAAATATATTCAATAAATTAATTGCTAATCGAAAACTTATTTTTTTTTTCGCTATAATAATTTTCCATTACACGTAGACAAGAAAGTAGTGTCTGACGAATGACGAACTAACGGACAGAGAGACAATGTTGACATAACAATAGGTTATGGAACCCTAAAAATGTGAAGTTTACACCCTAATACCTTCCTGTAAAAGTACAAAATGCAAGTGAATTATAAAATCGATATCATTCACAATCAACACCAGCTAATGATTACAATTAATTTTGAAACGATTTTTTCAATTTCTTCCACTGTTGCTGGATTTAAGTAGAAACTTTTTTTGGCACTCTTCGCTTGAAAATGGGTCTCTTTTGTCTTGTGCTTAGTTTTTCGAGGAAGGTTTTGACCAATGTTTGTAAAACGTTTGTTGAAAATGTTAAGTATTATTGTCTGGTTTTCTATAAGTTTTCCATTGTGATTGATTTCTTTGATTGTGTTTTAGTTTTCCCTTTAAAGTCTAGAGTAACTGTCCTTTTTGCTTGCTTTTAGATAATTTTATCAGTTGTGTTTAATTACAAGTTAATTGCAAATATTAATATTAGCAAAAAGAAAGAAGATAATATGTCTAGATTGAAAATAGTATCGTTGTTATAATTCACTTACAATTTGTATTTTTATAAGAAGGTTGGTTGTAATGTATTCGACTTGAGTAACTGTACAATTGTAAGTAGTTAATTGAAAAAAGTTTATTGTAATTCCATCTTCTAAAAATTTTTGGGATTTTTTTTATAAGGAAATTCTTTTTTATTTTATTATATGGATCCTTTAAGAGACGATGGAATATTGTTAATTCAGAATAATATATAACAAATTCAATTGATTTATTTTCATTATTATTCATTATTTCGTTTCTGACTGTGCCAAAGTACGATTAAAGTTATTTTGCAAGGTGAATTTTAGTAGGTAAACAATGCTTTATTTCGAGAAAAGCATTTTATTATAAATAAACACTATGCAAGGGAATCACCTTATCAGATTTATTTATGCAAAGGTGTAAACAATTTGACTAGACAACCTTGCAATAATTCTAATCTTTTTCTCAGAAAGTGCATTTTTATTTATGGGTAGGTATACATAAAAGCACTAGAAAATTACAGAACTTTTGAAATCAGAAGAAATAATTGTACATATAGATAGATACCTATCATACATCAGTCAAATCAATTTAGAAAAAAAAAAAAGAAAACATACTCACTAACCACTCTCCTGCTACAACATATCTTTATATAAATTATTTGCTTATTTTCATTGTTTTTATATATTCTTTTGCGTCTTGTTGTGTTCTTGTGTATTTTTAACTTTTTCTTCTTTTGTATATATATCTTTTCTATTCGTGGTTTTTGTTTCGTGTACATAAATTGACTTTATTATTATATATTAGTGTTTTATTTATGTTTT